CTTCCTCCCTCCTCTCCCTCCTTCCTCCCTCCTCTTGCTCCTCCTTCCTTCTGTCTCTCCTTCCTCCTTCCTGCTTGCCCTCCTTCCTCCTTCCTGCTCACCCTCCTTCCTCCTTCCTGCTCATCCTCCTTCCTCCTTCCTGCTCACCCTCCTTGCTCTTCTTTTTCCTTCCTCCTTCCTCCTCTTTTTTCTTCCTCCTCTTTTTCCTTCCTCCTCTTTTTCCTTCATCCCATTTTTCCTTCTTTTTTTGTCCTCCAACCTCCATGCCCTCCTTCCTCTTTCCTCGTCTCCTTCCTTCCTCCTCTTTTTCCTTTCTCCTATTCCTTCCTCTTCCTCCTCCCTTCTCTTTTCCTTCCTCCTTTCTCCTCTTTTTTCTTTCTCCTTCCTCCTCTTTTTCTTCCTTCTTCCTCCTCTTTATCCTTCCTCTTCTTGTCCTTCCTCCTTTGTCCTCCTTCCTCCTTTGTCTTTCTACCTCCTCACCCTCCTTCCTCTTTCCTCTTCTCCTTCCTTCCTCCTCTTTTCCTTTCTCCCATTCTTCCTAGTCTTCCTTCCTCTTCCTTTTTCTTCCCTCCTCTCGTTCCTTCTTCCTTCCTCCTCTCCCTCCTCCTTCCTCCCTCCTCTCACTTCTTCCTCCCTCCTCTTGCTCCTCCTTCCTCCTCTTTCTTCTTTCTCCTTCCTCCTCTTCCTCCTTCCATCTTTCTCCTTGCCCTCCTTCGTCCTTCCTGTTTGTCCTCCTTCCTCCTCTTTTTCCTTTCTCCTTCCTCCCCTTTGTCCTTCCTCCCCTTTTTCCTTCCTCCTCTTTGTCCTCCTTTCTTTGTCCTCCGCCTTCCTAGCCCCCTTTCCTCCTTTCTCCTCTGCCTCCTTCTTCCTCTTTTTCCTTTCTCCTATTCTTCCTTCTTTTTATTCTTCCTCCCTCCTCACCTTCCTCCCTCCTCACCTTCCTCCCTCCTCTTTTTCCTCCCTCTTCTTTTTTCTTCCTTCTTCCTCCTCTTTTCTTTCCTCCTTTCTCCTCTTTTTCTTCCTCCTTCCTCCTCTTTTCTCTCCTTTTTCATCATTTTTACCTCATCCCTCCTCTTTTTCCCTCCTCCTTCCTCCTTTTTTTCTTCCTTCTATCTCCTTTTCCTTCTTCCTTTCTCCTTTTTCCTTCCTCCTCTTTTTCCTTCCTCCTTTTTTCTTCCTCCTCTCCTCTGTCCTCCTTCCTCCTCTCCTCTGTCCTCTTTTCTGCTCTCCTCTGTCCTCCTTCCTGCTCTCCTCTGTCCTCCTTCCTTCTTGCCCTCCTTCCTCCTACCTCCTCTTTTTTCTTCCTCCTACCTCCTCTTTTTTCTTCCTCCTACCTCCTTGCCCTCCTTCCTCTGCCCTCCTTCCTCCACCCTCTTCACCCTCCTTCCTTCGCCCTCCTCTCCCTCTGCCCTCTTTTTCCTTTCTCCTATTCTTCCTTCTTCCTTCTTCTTTGTCTTCCTTCCTCTTCCTCCTTCCTTTCTTCCTTCTCTCCATCCTCCTTCCTTCCTTCTCTCCATCCTCCTTCCTTCCTTCTCTCCTTCCTTCTTCCTTCCTCCTCTCCCTCCTTTTTCCTTCCTCTTCTCCCTCCTTCTTCCTGCCTCATCTCTGTCCTCCTTCCTCCCTCCTCTCGCTCCTCCTTCCTTCTCGCCCTCCTTCCATCTTTCTCCTCACTCTCCTTCCTCCTTCCTGCTGGCATTCTTTGCTCCTCTTTTTTCTTCCTCCTTTCTCCTCTTCCGCCTTCCTCCTCTTTTTCCTCCCTCCTTTTTCCTTCCTGCTCTTTCCTTCTTCCTTTGTCCTACCTCCTTGCCCTCCTTGCTCTGCCCTCCTTGCCCTCCTTCCTCATATTCTTCCTTTTTCCTACTTTCTTTCTCCTATTCTTCCTTCTTCCTATTCTTCTTCCTATTCTTCCTTCCTCTTCCTCCTTCTTTCTCCTCCTTCCCCTCTTCCTTCCTCCTCTCCCTCCTTTCTTTTTCCTTCTCTCCCTCCATCCATCTTTCTTCTCCCCCTCCTTCCTCCTTCCTCTTTTTCCTTCCTCCTTCCTCTTTTTCCTTCCTCCTTCCTCTTTTTCCTTTCTTCTTTTTCCCTCCTCCTTCCACCTTTTTCCCTCCTCCTTCCTCCCCGTTTTCCTTCCTCCCCTTTTTCCTTCCTCCCCCTTTTCCTTCCTCCCCTTTTTTCTTCCTCCCCTTTTTCCTTCCTCCCCTCTACCCTGCCTCTCCTTTGCCCTTCCTCCTTCCTTTTTCCTCCACCCTCCTTGCCCTTCTTCATCCTCTTTCCTTCCTCCTATTCTTCCTTCTTCCTATTCTTCCTTCTTCTTCCTCCTTCCTCTTCCTCCTTCCTCCCTCGTCTCCCTCATTCTTCCTCCCTCCTCTCATTTCTCCTTCCTCATTTCTCTCCTTCCATCTTTCTCCTCACCCTCCTTCCTTCTTCCTGCCCTCCTTCCTCCGTTTTGCTTCTTCCTCTTTTTTTCTTTCTTCTTCCTTCTCTTTTTCATTCCTCCTTCCTCTTCTTCTTTTTCCCCTTCTTCCCTCCTCTCGATCCTTCCTCCTTACTTTTTTCCTTCCTCTTTTTTCTTCCTCCTCTTTTTCCTTTCTCCTCGCCTCTGTCCTCCTTCCTCCTCCTTTCTTCCTGCTCGCTCTCCTTCCTGCTTGCCTTCCTTCATCCTTCCTCCTCTACCTTTACTCTCCTCGCCTTCCTTCCTCCTCCTTCATTCTTACTCCTTCCTCCTCCTTCGTCCTCCTTCCTCCTTCATCCCCCTTCTTCCTCTGTCTTCCTCTTTTTCATTTTTCCTCTTCTTCCTTTCTCTTTTTCATTTTTCCTCTTCTTCCTTCCTCTTTTTCCTCCCTCTTTTTCCTTCCTCTTCTTCCTTTCTCTTCTTCCTTCCTCCTCGCCCTCCTTCTTCTTTCCTCCTCACCCTCCTTTCTTCCTTCCCCCTCCTTTCTTCCTCCCCCCTCCTTTCTTCCTTTTCTCCCTCCTTGCTCCTCTCCCTCCTTGCTCCTCTCCTCTTTCTTTCTCCTTCTTCCTGTCCCTTTTTCCTCCTTCCTCTTCTTCCTTCTCTTTCTTCCTTCTCACCTTCCTTCCTCCATCCTCCTTGCCTTTCTTCCTCCTCGCCTTCCTTCCTCCTTGCCCTCCTTCCTCCTTCCTCCTTTCCCTCCTTCTTCCTCTCCCTCCTTCTTCTTGGTCCTCTTTCCTCTTCTGTCCTCCTTTGTCCTCTCCTCTCTCCTTCTATTTCCTCCTCTTCTTCCTTCCTCCTCACCCTCCTTCCATTTCCTCCTCGCCCTTCTTCATCCTTTCTCCTCTACCTTTTCTCTTTGCCCTCCTTCTTCCTCCTTCCTCCTCCTTCATCCTTCCTATTTTTCCTTCCTCCTTTCTCCTATTTTTCCTTCCTTCTCTTTTTCCTTCCTTCCTCCTTTTCCTTCCTTCCTCTTTTTCAATTCTTCTTTTTCTTTCTGTTCTTCCTTCCTCCTTTCCCTCCTTCTTCCTTCTCTCCCTCCTTCTTCCTTACTCGTCTTTCTCCTTTCTTCCTCTTCTCCCTCCTCCTTTCTTCCTCCTCTCCCTCCTTCCTCATCTCCCTCCTTCCTCCTCTTTCTTTTTCCTCCTTCCTCCTCTTCTTTCTTCTTCCTTCCACCGTGCCTTCCTCCTCTTCTTCCTTCTTCTTCCTTCTTCCTTGCCTTCCTTCTTCCTTCCTCCTCGCCCACCTTCCTCCACGCCCTCTCGCCCTCGGCGCCTTCTGCGCCCCTCCTTCCTGCTTGGCCCTCTGC